GTGAAGATCCGGGGGGGGGGTGAAGATGGGGGGGGGGTAGGAGGGGAGAGCAGATGTCACCCATATAGGTAAGCTCTGATACTGGAGCTTAACCACTGTGGGTTCCTGCCGCAGGAAGGTGGTGAGAGAGCTTTAATTACCATTTGGAACCATTGTATGAGGAAGTGACATTAGATTGTAAGCTCCTTAGGGCTGGGCTTCTGGGTATGGAGAAGCAGGTGGCAGCGCTGGAGCCTGAGTGACCACCGATCTCCTGCCCAGAGCACTGTAAAGTGGGAAATGCAGATGTCACCCATATAGGTAAGCTCTGACACTGGATCTTAACCACTGGGGGTTCCTGCTACAGGAAGGGGGTGAGGGAGCTTTAACTACCATCTGACCAATTTAGAGCCATTGTATGATGAGGTGACATTAGATTGTTAGCTCCTTTGTGGGCAGATATGAACGGCTTTATGTACTCTGAAGAGTTTTGTGCTATGCATTGCTGTTATCAAAATTCAGAAAGTAATCCCATCCCAACAGTGGTTCTAATAAGCCTTATGCCCTTCCCTTTAGGTACCAGCCGTCTTTCCATGGCGTAGACCTTTCCTCACTTCGAGGAGCCGCTGTGGATGAATATTTTAAGCAACCAGTTGTGGTACGTGAACTGCAATTTCTCGCGTTTTTCTTGCTTTTCTCCCGCCATCCATCTGTCTTCATTTATTTATGTTTTATTTTTATTTTTTTAGGATACCTTTGACATTAGAATACTGATGGCCAAATCTGTGAAATATACCGTAAATTTCCTGGATGCCAAAGAGTCCGATTTGCACAGGTACGACACGTCCGTAAAGTAGTAACCCATAGCAACCAATCAGAAATCATCCTCCATTTTTTCTGATGCATGTTTGCCGATTTTGCTGCTGTGAGCCACTTTACAAGTCTGCCCTTTTGAAATGTTTAAATCAACCTGTCATGAGGGAAGTGCAGAGGCTGCCATTGCTGACATCTTCATCCGAAAATACTATTCAGTTGCCTGTCATGTTCGGCTGTCTTGCTTTAGTACTCCTCAGTCTCTGACCCAGGACAAGTATGCACCCTAAGGACTTCTGACTAATGGTAACTGATCCACTAGCTGTTTTGCCAGTCAACAAGTTCCACATATAGCCTTCATTACAGGTTTACTTTAACAGTGCCAAGCACACTGAGGGGAATGTATCAAAACTGGAGCAGCTGCGCATGGCAACCAATCAGCTTCTCTCTTTTTCAATTCTTAACTGAACAAGCTGATTGGTTGCCATGGGCAACTGCTCCAGTTTTGATAAATTCCGATCACTGTGTATATCATGTTGTGTCTGCACCTATGTATGTATTCACTATAACTATTTTTTCTCCCAACAGAATAGAAATCCCCTTCTCCTTCCACATGCTCCAATCTGGACTGGTCCATGGCCTGGCCTTCTGGTTTGATGTGGCTTTCATTGGATCCATGTACGTTGGAGATATAAACTGTTTTAAAAAGGAAATTCAATGGGATAACGTTGTTTTGTAATACAGTAAAAAGCTCAAATATCTAGGGTGCAGGTCCCTAATGGGGACAAAAAAACACTCTTCAATAGACTTTCTTTTATATCTCCCAGGTCTTTGTTCATATTCATAAGTTTACTCGCCTTTGGTGAGCTTTCCCTGGGGTAGCACTCCTCCGAATTTTTCATTTAGTTTATAGAAGTGGCAGGTGTAGACCTTGGTGGTGGCACGTAGGAGCCAAGCTGAAGATGAGGTGTCTTAAGTGCACCTGACTATGGACATTAAAGTGGCACTAAACTCAGGCGTTCAATCCTAAAAATGCATTCAAGTACCTTTTTAACTATTAATAAAAATGTATCTTATTTGTGTATCACTCGGCTGTAGATTCTCAAATCATCTCTGAATTGGTGCTGACACTGTCCTTCCTTCTGGAGGGTGGCTACTTTTGTTCCCCATGGTCCCTGTGTGTGTTGTAAAGTAGTCACCGCTCCAAGCTCACATCCGTGATAGGCTACAATCTCAATACAGATTAGTAAACTAAACATGAGATTGTAGTCCATCATATGAGTGAGCTTGGAGCGGTGACTACTTTACAACACACACAGGGACCATGGGGAACAAAAGGACAGTGTCGGCACAAATTCAGAGATGTCGATCTCCAGCTGAGTGACACACAAATAAGAGACATTTTTGTTAATAGTTAAGGTACTTGAGTGCGTTTTTAAGAATTCAATCCTGAGTTTAGTGTCACGTTAAGCTGTGTCAGCTGATGTATCCGTTCAGCGCAGACACAATGGGGGGAATTTGTCCATCTGGAGCAGTTGCCCATGGCGACTAATCCGCTTCACTCTTCAGTTTGTTCAGTTAAGCTTTGAAAATGAGCTAGAAGCTGGTTGGTTGAACTCCTGAGTTTAGTTTCACTTTAAACTATTTACATATTCTTAACAAGCAGTAAAACAAACCACCGTGGGCCCATCTAGCTGCTTGTACTGTGAACTTATTAATTCTCAGAGATCACAGCTTAGACTTTATAGTCAGTGTCAGCTGATTTCTAACAGCTTAGAATTACCTGCAGTGAATGGCAGGTTGCCACGATTCTGTACTCCTAGAGAAATCTTGTGTTGTGAAGGTTTGAAAAATATAATTTAATTACAATGCTTATAGATACGGAGATGAATGAAATCTCGCTTTTACTGCTTGTTCAGAATATGTAAAGACTCTAATGTGAATGATCTGGACCCCTTAAGCTTGCCCAAGAAAGACCGAGTTCCACCTGTATCTATGGGTTGAACCTGATGGACTTGTGTCTTTTTTCAACCTGACTATGTATGTATGTGCAATATCTGCTTTGAGTATACTGGCCTTTCAAAGGGCGTATTTGGGGATTTTGTTAATATTCTGAGCAGCAAAGCTTGGTGTGAAGTGCACAGAAGTCTGAGTGTGCCCATGTAGTAACACTGCCTGGATACAGTGATCTCATCCATCCCTAGATGGAATTGATTTTTTTTTTCTTTTTGGCTGACAGTTCAATGTCAATAATTCAGTTGGTCAGGGAAGACGGGATGATGTCATTGTATCTGGGAAGACTTCTGATAAAGCGTCAGTCATTCTAAGAGCCAGCAGTCACAATGTGCTAGTTTTAGGCCTGTGATTTGGGGGCTTTTAAACCAAACTCTGGGAAAAATTATAATTTACACCGTGCATTGGGTGTGTAAATCATCAATAAAAAGCTAGGTGTTATGTGGAGGGCCATTACAAAGTATAAGGACTTTACCTTGTAGCATGTCGTCTCCTACAAATAAGGCTGAGCTTACGGACACTGCATGGAGTGAGGGATGCGACTCTAGCAGTAAGGTACTCCAGTCACATCCTCGCTACTTGCCCATTCACAAAAGGCCTTGTATTTTTTTCAGTGAGTACAAGTCATTTTATGATTGGAAGATGTCACATTCCCCCTGCCCTCTCTTCTCTGTCTCTGTAGGCCTGGCATTATACAGGTGAAACTCGAATAATTAGAATATCGTGCAAAAGTAATTGCAGTAAGTGCTGCAAAAGGGGCCCAAACCAAGTACTGAGTACATATGCATGCTTGTACTTTTCAGAGGTCCGATATTGTTCTACGTACAATCCTTGTTTTATTGATTGCATGTAATAATCTACTTTTTTGAGGTTGTGGATTTGGGGTTCTTGGGGTTTTCATGAGCTGTAAGCCATAATCATCACAATGATGACAAATCACGGCTTGAACTATCTTGCTTTGCATGTAATGAGTCTCTCTCATATATTAGTTTCACCTTTTTAAGTTGCATTAGTGAAATAAATGAACTTTGCACGATATTCTAATCGAGATTTTTATAGTTTGCAGCAGCCCTCCACATATACAGCTTTTTAATGATGATTTACACACACATTGCCGAGTAAAAATGATCCCGGAGTTTGGCTTTAACCCTTTCGCTGCCAAGGACGTACGTCGTACGGAGCTACAAAAGTGCTTCCAGCTGGCCAGCTCAGTACGTCGTACAGACCTGGCATTTACAGTTCTACTATAAGCTGATGGTCGCTTTAGCGACCATCAGCTTATAGTAGAACTTTGAAAATCAAACCAATAGGAAAAAATTGCAGAAAATTCAAAAATGGCTTGGCCAGCTGATTTGAAAAATGTTCCGGAGGGCTTGGCAGCGAAAGGGTTAAAGGGTTTCTAAAACCTCCGTTTTTTGGGGTTTTTTTTGCATATATCTACTGCTAGCAAGCAGTAGATGCATGCAAAAAGTTTTTAAAAAAAATAACCCGCTTTAACAGCGGTTTAAACTTACCCCGTCTTCGCCGCGCGCTCCTGTCAGAAACTGCTCCAGCGGCTGCAAAGCATCTTGGGGCGGGCGCATATGCAGTTTGGATTTTCGGCCGAGAGACAAGGAGAGATTCAAGGTAAGTATATGGACAGCGTGCACCCGCATGCAGACACCGTGGGCCAGGAAGTACCAGCAAGTACAGAGGAGTCGGCGCTGGATCGGAGACCCGCAGCAGCGCTGGAGGGACAGATGAAAACATCAGGAAAGATCGGATTAAGAGACATCATTTAAGGTAAGTGCTAACATTAACATTGGGGGGAGGGAAAACATTTTTTTGACTAATGTCATTTTAAGGTGATCTGGAAGTTGGATACACATTTAAATACCTGCTTTTCACTCGGGTCAGTTTCAAAACTGTAAAGTTATCCCTATACTTCAAGATATTGCTTGGTCAGTTGTTCAGTTATCTAGTTTTATCACATCATCTATTTTTTATTCTTCAGGATGACTGTCTGGCTTTCCACAGCCCCCACTGAGCCCCTCACTCACTGGTACCAGGTCCGCTGCCTTCTACAGTCGCCCCTCTTCACCAAAGCTGGAGACACATTATCTGGGACAGTCCAGCTTATTGCTAACAAAAGGTGGGCCTATCTGCAGCCTTCCCGGTCCCCGGCCTGCACAATGGCTGTGCTGCCATTTTTCTCCTTTTCTGGTTGTAGCATTATATTGTTTCCTCGCTTTCTTACAGGCAAAGTTACGATATCAGTATTGTTGCTCAGGTGGATCAGACTGGATCCAAGTCTAGTAATCTGCTGGATCTGAAGAACCCGTTCTTTAGGTGGGTATCGCTTCGATAACGAGCTTTTAGTGGTTTTTAGAAGTGCTGAACTTGGCAGAATAGAAAAGGGAGAATTTTCTGTATCTTGGGTTATATTGTTGCAGGAATCCCTAGAACAGAGACAGGAGTCTTATCTGCTGCTCTTGATCCTGCTGGCCACATTTAGATTATCACAGAGCAGTCATATTCTTTCAGCAGAGCTACTTATTCATCAGTTTAACCCCTTAGCGACCAGTGACGTACATAGAACATCACTGGCAGCAGGCCCATTTAGCCGCCGGGACTCTTGTTTACATTTGTAATGCCAGCTGTTGGCTTTACAATAGAAGCGATTCTGACGGCTCAGCTGCCGTCAGATCGCTTCTACGGGCCGGTAAAGTGCATCTCGGGTGACGACGGGAAGCTGGTGTGGAGAGCAGCGAACGTCCGTTCACCGATCTCCTCCCCGTTCTATGGGACAGGGAGCGACGTGTATTGCATCACTTCCAGTCCCTGAACTGTCATTGCTGGGCTCCTGAAGCCCAGCAATAAGCTATTGAAGTGCGATCTGCACCTCAATTGCTTATTTAAAGTTTAAAGGTGATACTAGGGATCTTTTGGACCCCCAGTATCACCTTAAAGATTACCTGTCACTGGCAATATGCTATCACATGGGCTTGTAAGTCCCATTATGTATTGGCAATTCACGTTTAAAAAGAAAATATGAAAATAAAATATTTTTTAAAGGCCCCCTTGAGCACCCGTGTATTTACGTAAACACGTGTCGGGTGCGCCTATGTACAAAAATGTCAATCGCAGTACACATGTTGGGTATCGCCGCGCACACCAGAGTGAGAGCAATAATTCTAGGGCCAATATTATGCTGATGACCTGTGGGGGCTCTTCAAACGTCTATTGGCGTTTTTGGGGTACAGAATTTTGTCGCAGTCTCACAGATGCACACAATTTTTTACCTGGGCATGTTGGGTTACTCGACGTAATCTCATCTTTTATATTTTATGAAATAAATGGGCATTATATTGTGTTTTGAGGCATTGAATATAACTCAAGTGCATTTTGTACTAAATATTTGGGTTTGATATAAAGTTGCGCTAATATCATGCAACATAAACATTTGCAACTGAAGCCATTTGTTTCTTGGCTTTCATAAAATATATAATGTTTGGGGGTTTAAAGTAATTTTTAGGGCCAAAATGTGGATTATAACATAAACGGGGGGAAAAGGGCTTGGCAGCGAAAGGTCCTTAAGGGGTTAAATGAGCAGAAAGATTGATTATCTGTAATTTTCCATATGTCATGTGATTAAAGTGAGGTTAGTTGTACATTAGAAGATGAAATAGCAAACAACTGCATTTCTACTGCTTTTTAAATTTGATTCTAAATAATTGTTTGTCAGATTTTTACGACTGCATGCAAATTCAGTTTTACTCATGTTGTGTTAAATGTGTGTGCATACTAGCAGCCAAGCATCTGATCATCATGAGTCTTCCAGGTACACTGGCTCAACGCCGTCCCCTCCTCCTGGTTCACACTACAGCTCCCCCTCTGACAATATGTGGAACACAGCAGGGGCGTACACCATGAACACAGGAATGGCCATGGGAGGTGAGTGCGGGGAGTCGGAACCAAACTGGACCAAATGCTTTATGGCGAAGGGTGTGGGGAGGAGCGGAGGGAGGGAGGGAGGGCTGGATTTTCCTGGCAAACAAGTTGCTGCTCCTATTGTATCTGCATTATTGATATAAAAGAGAGTGTGTGGTTCCTATTGGGGATTTTTTTTCATGTCTGTTCATGTGATTCCAGCTGTCATTGAAATTAAATCCTTAAAGGAGAACTATGAGGCAAGTGAAACTTGCTCAGCCTCATAGTTCTAGCCGACCTGTGACAAGGAAACTGTCACGTTGGCTCAATGGATCAGGAAGTGAGCAAACGCATGCGCTCGCTCACTTCTCGATCTATCCCTGCAGAGAGCCGTGACTGTCACTCATGGCTCCCTGCAGGGATTCACCCTCCCCTGTCCGATCCTCCAGCGCTGACTGGCGGAACGGACGGGGTAGGGGGTGGGCACAGCTGGCTCTGCCTCTAGATAGGCAGAGCCAGCTGTCAATCCCTCAGCTGGGTGGATCTCGACAGTAATGTCGGGATCCGTCCCGGCTGTGGCGTCTCAGTATACCGCGAGCTGTAGCTCGCGGTATACTGAGCTTTGGGTGACGGGAGGACGCTAGTTTGTGTCCTCCCGTTACCCTTAGGAGAACTATGGGGAAAAGCCCTGACCCCATAGTTCTCTAACACCTTCTTGAGCAGAAGTCATCAAAGCCTAGATTTCCAGACCAAATTTCGTAGCATCTCTATGTGCTGGTTACCTTCACAATAAATCGAATTTGTCTGCTTACATTTTTACACTATTCAAGGACACTTGTAATAAATACCCTAATCAGGTTTTATTTTTAAGTTGCCAAATGGGCTAATGTTTGAAAAAATAGCATTTTTGATGACTTTATACACAACTATTTTTAATCGCACATTGTAATTATTATTTTTTTTTTACACATGAATACTTTCTAGTGCTCTGTACACAAAGAAAGGAGCAGTGCTATCCGAAGGCTGGAAAAGAACGTTCATATTAACACATATAACCTATTAATTTTTGGGTTGTGAAACGGAGAGCTGCTTAAAGTGACTCTAAACTCAGGAGTTCAATCTTAAAAATGCATTTAGGTACCCTAAATATTATTAAAAATGTACCTGATTTGTGTATCACTCGGCTGTAGATCCTCAAATCATCTCTGAATTGGTGCTGACACTGTCCTTCCTTCTGGAGGGGGGTTTCTTTTGTTCCCCATGGTCCCTGTGTGTGTTGTAAAGTAGTCACCGCTGCAAGCTCACTCCCGGGATGGACTACAATCTCAATACACATTAGTAAACATGAGATTGTAGTCTATCACAGGAGTGAGCTTGGAGCAGTGGCTGCTTTACAACACACACAGGGACCATGGGGAACAATAGTAGCCACCCTCCAGAAGGAAGGACAGTGTCGGCACCAATTCAGAGATGATTTGAGGATCTACAGCCGAGTCATACACAAATAATGTCCAGTATTGTTAATAGTTAGGGTACTTGAACGCTTTAAGATGTAACTCCTGAGTTTAGTGTCACTTGAAAGCTGATTTCCCAGCACCAATGTTATTTTTTTGTTTTTTTTCTATTCCATTATATTAGTCAGTGGCTGTGAAGGAAATTAAATCTTTGTGTGGATTGGAAACCTTTGCAAAGCCATGTTTTCTTTTGTAAAAGTAACCGTGATATCATTGTACATAACCTGAGCAGAGCTGAGGGGGGGAGGGGCAGCTGTGACCTGTCTTTATTTTAGGAAGCTCTTGTCTACAGACAAAGTGCAGACCTTGGTTCTTTATTGGGTTACTGCACAGAACTAAAAGAGCAAAACGCGCACACGGGAAACCAAGATTTAAGATTGTACAGGGAATTTATCAAAATCTGGAGCAGCTGTGCCTGGCAACCAATCAGCTTCTCTCTTCAGTTTGGTCAGTTTAAGATTTTGAGAATGAAGGAGGCTGATTGTTCTGCACATCTGCTCCATATTCCGTCTGCTCCAGTTTTGATGAATTCCCTTCATTGTGTTTGGACGATACTTGTTTAGTTAGGACTTCAGCTTTATATGAGGTGAGCTCATCACCTAATGCAGGCCGGGGATTATTTGTTTGGTGCCAGACCTGTACTGATTTTGAATCTTTTCAAATGAAATTCCTTCCTAAGAGCAGACACTACAGGTTGTCTATTACCCATCCATTGATGTGTTATGTGAATTAATGATGGATCCACTTCAGGTATAGAGTGGGTTTGAGTGTCTCTTACGTTTTTTTTGTTTTTTTTGCTAGGAATGCCCACGGCGTATGATCTCAGCAGTGTTATGGGTGGAAGCTCAGGCATCAGCCACAGTAACCTCATCCCTCTAGGTGAGCAGTCTGCAACCTCGTGTTCTGCGTCTCCGCATCCGGGACCCCAAGACCTGACACACGGAACCTCTAGTAATACCATAATCTCCATTCTCTCATAAATGCTTCTTCCCCATGATTCCCCAGCCCCCTGACACTGCTTTGGGCTTGCCAGCCAGCTGTGCATCATAACGCTAAGCTGCTTGTAGATGTCGGGATGGGCATAAGTTTTAGAGAAGGGTCTTCTAGTTCCTCGTAGAGGCTATTTATTAACCCCATCTCTGAATCAATTCATTTCACTAAACTCATTCCGAAGGGACTAATCTGATAACTGTGTAGCTGCATCTCCATGTGTTTACACTGACCCATTAACAGCACTGAACATACACATTCTCCAGAATCATCTGTGAGCAATCATTAGAAGTTGCCATGTTTAAGATATCATTCGTTATAGTTCATTAGCCAGGACACACAAATAATCACTTGTCACACTCATCATTAACATGTCACTATAACCCACTACCACAGAAGGGGGTAAACATTTAACCATGTCCATAAATTGTCAGATCTTTAACCCTGTCACCCATTGGCTGCATATCAGCCTCATCCATTCATTTAAAAGCATTGCCCATCCAGGGCTAATCTTTACAAATGATTGGATGCTGGTGAGTTGGCTTCCTAATGGTTTCTATTCTACTGCAGAGCTGATAACTGCTCACTGGATTTCTACATCTGAGTGTTATCAGCGCCTGCTGTAGCCAAATGTGTTAAACCTTAACCCCATACTCGGCCTAGAACATTTCGAAGGTAATAGTGCTACGGTGCAGGCACCACAAGGTCCCCACACATCAGCACTGTTGCCTATGGGTGCACTGCAAAAGAAACAGAGAAATACTCCCCTCTCCAGGGGTTTTAAGGCAATTTATTCTATTAAGATTACCAGGCACTGATGCTATCAGGCACTGGCTGCTGAGTTTTCCTTGACGGCTGCTGTCCTGTCGTGAGGTAGCGGCCAGCGGGAGGAAACATGGCACCAAGTGTGTGGGGCACCCTATCTGACACAACCAGAAGTGTTGGATTGGGGCCGTGCCTGGAACTCTTAGGCCCCATTCACACCTATGCGTATTGTAATATGCGCGTCTGTCGCGCGTTTTTTTACCGCGATTCGCGGTAAAAAAGTCGCGCGATTCCAAAGGCTACTTGGCAGTATACAAATGGAAAACGCCCTACAAAACGGACCAATACGCAGCAAAAAACGCTCCGGGACCTTTTCATGCGTGGGCCGTTTTGTAGTGCGTTCGGGACGGGCGGAAATACGGACAGGTGGGAACGATACCATTGACTACAATGCTATTTATTTTTTTGACCGTTTTGTAGAGCGTTCATCGAGCGTAGGACGCGCTACAAAACGGTCAGGTGTGAATGGGGCCTAAAAGAAAAATATTTGAGGTGAGTACTTCTCTCCTCCATATACATGGTGCCCACAGGTTGGCTTTAACTTTATGGCAAGTATTAATTTCTATGGTCCTTATGGACAGACAATGACTATGGCAGGGCAAGGACCTAAAAGAAAAAGCAATGGAGAGATCTTGTTTTTGCATTTTAAGAAGCCAGCATGTGAATCGGCCCACCGGCACGCACACAATAAACTAGAACACTGAGTGGCATTAGCCATTAAAGTGACCGTCATTATAAAAACAAAACTCCTTGCAGGTAAGACGTGCCGACCCCTAGAGGTCCCTACACATACCAGCAGCAGTGTTCGCTGCTCCTTCAGTCGATTGCCGGGTCATTCTGAACAGGCAAAGCTTTGACACTTCCAGGTAGTCACAGAGCTCGCCCACACATTCCCATGGACTCATCATTGTGATCGCTCACTGGCCAGTAGGGATCCATTGGAGGTAGGCAGGGGCCTGGCAATTTCTGTAACTACCATGATATGTCAACGCTTTGCCCAATCAGCTCAGCATTCTGGCAAATGAAAGCTGGCACATGCACGTTATAGCAGTTAGCAATTAACTCTTAAAGTGACAGTGTTACTTTGTGGGTACATTTAGTAAGAAAGTATATTACTGCTGTGGAAGAATCACACAGCAAAAATGTAAAAAATGTGTCAGTCATTTATGAACAGAACCTGAAAACTAGCTCAGTCATGAAGGGGTTAATAATACTTTATGATGAAATACACTGTAGTGATTGAATTTGTATTCATCAATATTTTCTTGTATGTAACACAAACCTGCAGGCTAGTATGCTTAAAAAAAGAGTCCTTTCTAATAGCAGCCTCCACTTAATACAAATTTGCCACCAGGCAATCGTTAACCATTCCACAAATAACCTCATCTTACAACTAATCCTCATGTCCACTGACTCACCCATTGACCAATACATGAGACTAATACCTAGACCATTGTAGCGCGATGTTTGCAATATACTTATGCCAGAGTTCCTCCAATTGTCCAAGTGTATAGAGTAGGGTAGTATAGTCCGGTATACTGTTTTAGGTTCAGGAGCCTTTGTAGGGGCGGGGATGGGATGTCCTCTAACACCAACATTGGGCCTTATTTATTAAAGTGTCTGAGAGAATCATCTTCAAATTGGCAATTGTGACGTTAGCGTAAGGAAGGGTTCCAACCGGTGTCCCAATTTAATTGTAGTTAGTGTCCCCATGAGGGAGATTTCCCCTCGCTTCCTGTCCAGCTGTCCTCAAAGTAAGAGGAACTTTAATATCTCAACGGGGACAAGGACTAAATTAAAATGTGGCAAAGATAAGAGAAGTGGAGCGGCTCAACTGTCACACATCCACTCCCGCTATTGGGACCTCAGTATTAGATGAAGCTTCTGCCTAAGCCTTGAATCTAAAAGTCCCTACAAAACCGGCACCTTAAAACGGGATCAGTCCAATTACATCCACTTATTCCCGAAAAGGCATAAAAACTGTCAAACTTTTGACACATTTCGGCCCAACACCTGAGCTTTAGTCGTGGCGTGTCAGTCCCATCGCACTCCTGACCGGTAAGTCTCTTCAGGAATAGGTGGGTGCTCCAATGGCAAATGGATGGCGCCGCTCAGTATCGGAAAGGAAGGGGTCACTGGCACTCCAGTCACTGATCATCACTGTTTTGCCTGAAGAACCCTGGTGGCCCCCAAAACATTGAGCATGTGTCAATAAATGTGTATTGATCAGCATACTGGAGTACTAGTGACCGCTTCTTTTCTTAGTCGTGACATGAACACTAAGGCTCAGTTGAGGGCCTGAAACACGTCAAATTTGACTGTTTTTATGTCTTTTTGGGAATAAGCGAATATTATTGGACTGATCTCATTTGAAGCGCCGGTTTTCTATGGAATGTAAAATGTGGCAGAGGTTCTAACCCTTTGTAGCCAAAAGTAGTAAAACATTTTTGTGCTGGTATTTGGCTTTTTGTACAGCTTTCAGGCAACAGACATTTATTTATTTCTTGCATATTCTGGGGCCCCGGGACTACGTCTGATTCTGCACAGGGCCTAAGACACAGGACAACTTAAACACTTTTTATGCATGAGGCCCAGTGTTTTGTTTGGCTCTGTATTTTTATTCCTTTGTTCCTGTTGAGCCTCATTGTTTCAGGTCTCTGACGGGTTAGGTAACTGAACTTTTCAAGTAACAATCCACCTCTGACTTTATCACCCTCTGGCTTCTTGTATACCTTTTGTGTCTCCTGCCATGAGCGCTCGGCATCTGTTCACCAGCTCGCCCCAGTTACTGTTAGGAGGTTCCACTTCATGCAGGATAAGTGGCAGGGGTGCACATAGCAATGGACTGTGTGTGGGGACACATTTCAGCTGGAGCTTCTTAGAGATATAAAAAGCCAGGGGTGTAATTCAGACAATCCGTGTCCGCCAACAACATGAATATCTGTTTGAGGTGGACTTGACACTTGGTGGCTCCTCTGGTACTTGTAACAGGTCATTTGTTTTGAGCCTTTGAGTGCCCTTTAAATGAAGCCTCTTTCTCACACTCACCAGTACTGGACCTCTTTAATTCTGCCCAGAGAAGTTGGGGTTAGCAAACGTTCTGTACACAGCATTTAAGGTTATGACACTAAACTCAGGAGTGAAACCTTCAAAATACAATCAACTACCTTAACCATTAACAAAAATGTCTCTTATTTGTGTATCACTCGGCTGTAGATCCTCCAATCATCTCTGAATTGGTGCTGACACTGTCCTTCCTTCTGGAGGGGGGCTACTAGTAGTCACCGCTCCTGTGATGGACTACAATCTCTCATGTTTAGTTTACTGATTTGTATTGAGATTGTTGTCCGTCCCGGGAGCAGGGTGGGAGCCGTGACGTCCTTACAACACACAGGGACCATGGGGAACAAAAGTAGCCCCCCCCCCCAGAAGGAAGGACCGTGTCAGCACCAATTCAGAGATGGTTTGAGGATCTACAGCCGAGTGATACACAAATAAGAGACATTTCTGTTCATAGTTCAGGTACCTGAATGCATTTTTAAGATTTAACTCCTGAGTTTAGTGTCACGTTAAGCTGTGTCAGCTGAGGTTTCTATTCAGCGCAGGCACATTGGGGGGAATTTGTCAAAACTGAAGCAGTTGGCCATGGCAACTAATCAGCTCCTCTCCTTAGTTTGTTCATTTAGTTAGGATTTGAAAATGAAATCTAGAAGCTGGTTGGTCGTCATGCAAAGCTGCTCCAGGTTTGATTGGTTCTCCTCATTTTGTCCTCAGTGTGTCGTGCACACATACGAAAGAATCTTGTTGTCACTCTAACTTCCTGGATCAGTATTTTCCCTGGATGGTCCTACTACTGAAGATCTTCAAAACACGTGCCTGAGGATCCCTGGCTGAGGCCTCTCCTAAACACAATTTTAATTTTGGACGCGCGGGTAGATGTTGGCTACGGACTGTTCCTTCTTTCTTACAAAGAAGGGGACAGCCCCTTTTATCATACATGCCATGAATTGAAAGTAGTCTGAGTAACAGATTAAGAAAATAGCATGTTCTTGGGCGCAATGGTTTTGTGAAAAATGTGCAGACCTCCCATCTTTTGGTGCAAAATGAGAAATGTTCCTAACTAGACATAAGAGCTGAGAGGTAGAAGGCAATGTAGATGACGTCCTGCCTTGTCATTGGTGATATTTCAGGGATTGTTTTATTTAAGGAGCTATGAACACTATATGGCCACAGATTGCAAACACCTGACCAGAGCACCGCCAAAGGAATGTGGAGTCCCCACCAGTTGATTTAGTTCAGGTGTTTCCAAATGAAGGGGACTGTTAATTCTACAGCTTCCCGTGACATTTTAGATCATTGTGCTCTTACGACCTTGTGGTGACAGTTTGGTGAAGGACCTTTTCTGCTTCAGCAAGACTGTGCCCCTATGTACAAAGCCAACTCCACAAAGACATGGCTTGAGTTTGGTGTGAGGGACATGAAGTGGCCTGTGCAGATCTCTGACCTCAACTCTACTGAGCACCTTTGGGATGACTTGAAACACCGAATGAGATCCAGGTCTTCTCATTAAACATCGGTACCCGAGTCCACGTATGTTCTTTTGCCACAGATTCCCACAGACACACTCCAAGGTCTTCTGGGAAGGCTTTCCAGAAAACCTTGGAGTGTGTCTGTGGGAATCTGTGGCAAAAGAACATACGTGGACTCGGGTACTTCTAGAAAGCCTTCCCAGAAGATTGGAGGTCACAAAGGTGGGGAGGGGGGCAACTGCATATTACCCGTCTCTAAGAATAGAATGTCCAGCAAGCTAATGTATGTGTGATGGTCATGTGTTTAAACTCCTTTGGGCCTTATAGTGTATGTAGATGATGTGTTATTGCCCATAGCATGCAACCATTTCCGTGCCCTCCAAAATGCTTGACAATTTGACCGCCAAAATTTCCACGACTGCACTCCATTGGAGTCGGCCTATGTCTTGGACTTGAGCAGCAATCCATTCAAGTCAACGAGAAGCTCAAGCTAAGACATTTTTGAAGTTTACATAAGCTTTTCTTGTGATGTTTGGGACGCTGCATGCCAAGCTGTGCAACGATTAGGGTTGAGGTTAGTTTCCCAGTTGCACTGTAGACGTAGAGTAGAATTTGGCTGTTGTGGGCAACGCCACCATTCGTTTATAACTGTCGTATTTTGTATTACTAATTTCCCTCACTTTTACTAGACTACTTCCAAGTAATGTCTGTAGGCAATGTTTCCTATAACGTCACCCGTTTCCACTCCCACCTCCTCCCCCGTTTCCTTGCAGCTAACACAGGAATTGTTAATCACACGCACTCCAGGATGGGATCCATCATGAGTACAGGCATCGTCCAAGGTGAGGTTCTGACGTGCGTTGTAGAAGATCTAGGCATTGCTATGCCTATAAACCTTTCAAAAAGCCATGGTGAAAACTCCTGTCTCTTCTCTCTTCTAGGATCGGCCTCAGGACAAGCTGGTTCCAACGCTACCGGCCACTACCCAGTCAACAACCAGTTCACTATGGGTGGCCCAGCCATCTCTATGGCTTCTCCCATGTCTATCAACACCAACACAATGCATTATGGGAGCTAGAAACTGCTCACTCCTCCCTTGCGACCTCGGCTGCTCCTGCCCCACCCAATCCTCTTCTCGCTCCTCCTCTGTCCTCTCTCTCCAAAACTGACTCTCTGCTTTGTGTTTTTCCCATGTTATTCCCTTTCTCCCATTTGTACCATAACGCAAAGCAAGACACTTTGCTTTCTTGAAAATGGACTTGTAAAATTTTTTTTTTTAATGAAATACTACAAAAAAAAAGCGTTGTCCAAAAAAAAAAAGGAATATTAAGGATAGCGTTGGGCGCTGCTTATGTTATCAAGAAAGCCAGATCATTGCATTGAGCCTGCACGGGTGTCGTATGTGGACTATTGTGTTGGGTGCCCTCTCCCCCAAAACCCCCGGGCATTGCTATGAATTAGTATTACAACCGTTAGGGCAGGTGAGGGTGGAGGAGGTTTTACTAGCACTGTGCTTCATGTTACCCTTCATTTCCTCAGGGCAAGGGGGGCGTAACATTATCACTTGCTAGGGAATTCTTTTGTTTACTTACAGCTGCTGCTTTGTCTTCTCTGGGAAGCAGAATGCGAATCGACCACCCCACCCCTTTAAAATTGCAGTAGTCGTTCCTTCCCATGTTATCAGTTTGGGCTCTGGAATCAATGTATCATGTCTCTGTCCTTTGACCCCCTTCCCATTCCTGGTGTTAAGACATTGCATGTTGACTTTGTGTACCAGTTGTGGGACTTTGGAAGAAAAGGGAGCCCGTCATTCTCGCTGTAATGTAGACATTACAGTTTTTAAACCATTACGATTAAATTGAAGGTTTTCTTAGCTGGGAGAAACGTCAAAATTGTAAATACTTTTGTCGGTGAAATGCTGTACTGCGTCACCTCAATCTCTAGAGGAAGCCATTTAAAAAACAAAAAAATAGATTGTAGTCCGTTGGTTGAATGTGAATCGGTGACATCACTTTGTTTTTTTTTCACTGTACCTGTAGTATTAAAAGGAACACTTTGAAAGGAAGCAGGCGTATAAGGCTATAGGGTGCTGGGGATACCGCTAAAGTAAAACTGCGGGCAGGCTCTGGACAGTCAAACGTGTTCTATATTCTTATTTCATTCAATAAATGTTTATTAAAGTTTCATAAATTAATCCAAAAGATCAGCGAAACGATGGCTTCAGAAAAGAAAAGCCTGTCCCCGGCCAGCATGCTGTCTAGAAGGACCCTTGGCTGCCTGTGTGAAATGCAGTGGTGTCTCTGCTGAGGTTTAACACCCCCCCTGCTGAGTTAGACCTATACCTATGCAATCAGCAAAGCTCATGCTCCCTCCTGATTGGAGAGCTCTAGCTCTGATGGAACATGTTGGACCTCTGCATAGAGACCACTGCTTCCCCATAGAGAGCAAGAGTGTCTCTCTCTGCAGCATGCTGGCAAGGGACAGGCTTTTCTGTTCTGAAGAAAATGCACTGTTGGGCATTGCACACCATTTTGTTGTGATGCCCCTGGACTATGTTCAGTATGTTTAAACTGAAGGTGTAGCTGGGCTTTAAAGCTTATTTAAGGCTGTGTAAATGGCTAATTGCCAATGACCCGGCCAGAGGATTGCTTTACATAGGATTAGCACCTTCCTGCCCTGTTGGTTTTAGTGCCATCTGATCTCTGTGCACAGATACATACTCCCCATAGATGTGGGGCCCCCCACAGGGTTCCCCCCACCAGCCCATGTTTAAAACCTGCAGCTTCAGAGCCGGCCTTTTAGCGGTATCTTCATGCCACCCCGCGGATAGTGCAGTACAGGAAGTCTCCGGCATGCCTGGGGCTACTTAAGGCATCTTGCTGTGAAGAAAGGATTTCTTGTGAGGTTTGTAGGGAGCTTCCTGGAATTTCCAGAGATGCAGGAGGAAAGTGGAGCACCTAGGTTGGAGATGTAGTTAGTGCCTGGGACCGTCTTTCCTTTCAAAGTATTTCTTTCCATTTTATTTTTTGTACTACAGATTGAACTGAAGGAAGGCCAGACTGAGAACTATGTAGGCTGCCATTGCAGACTGACCTGAAAGAAGCAAGTCGCAAGGGAAGTTCTAATTGAAGCCTTTGTGTTAGCATGTAGGTAGCAAGCAGTTAGCATTGTCCTAAGGAGAGGTCACCCGTTGCAGCCTGTATGTTTCTGAGAGTAGGTTTGCGTTAAGGCTGCGGTCACATGACAGCTTTTCATACCAGTAGAGTGATGGCCGAGGTGTCTGTTCATCTTGTAATGGACGGATACATGTGTGACGGGACCAGTGTGTTTCCTGTTGGCTGTGGTGAGCTCAGTCGGAGATTTGCATGCTGGGACTATCCCTGGAAGGAAAGCTGTCATATGGCCTTCCCTGAAGTGATGTCACCTGAAGTTACAGTGATTTGATAGTTCTATCCATGGCTGGGGTAGGAAACCTCAGCACTCCATCTGTTATGTAACTACAAGTCTCACGAGGCATTGCAAGACTCTGACAGTCACAGCCATGACTCTGAGTAAGAGGTAAGATGAAATTTGTAGTTTCAGCACAGCTGGAGTACAAGCATTGCCTGCCCCTGGTCTTTTGGATGTAATGATGTAGTGTAGGGCAGCAAAATTCCATCTGTCTAGCTCCTTATGCTTGTATCGGCTCTCGTAAGTAACCATTGTATGCAGCGGGATATGTTCAGCTGCTATGGAGGAATGGTGCAGGCCATGTCCTGCTGTCTGCCATCTTCAGGCTGTTGGCTATAGCTCTACATTTACCATTCAACACTTAAAGCCCAACTCCTGCAAAATCTTAATTTCTGCAGTCTGTCTCTATTGGGGTGATTGCAGGCTGTGACCCCACAAGAAAAATTAAAATGGCGTCCTGTTCCGAGAGAAAGTAGGAAGCAATCATTGATTTTATTAAAATGGGAAGGAGGACAACCTCTGTCTGTGACAACCGATCCCTAATCACTTGTGCGCTGTCACAGGGGCTGGAAGTGAGATGACATTTCCTTAAGGGAGTCACAGGCAGCAATAAAAGCTGGATAGAAGTATTATCTCTTCCCAAGTCTATCCAGAGGTGACCACATGCGTATTGATCATTCGATGAGACTAAACGATTGAATTTAATAAGAATCGTAAACCGCAGACCCTCCATCCCATCAAATTAGTGAGCTTTCAGATGTCGAAAGTTTGCCAATCACTTCTGATCGATCAGATAAATATCTGCATGTGTGTCGGGGAACTGATCATATCGATGGATTCAATGATCGTTTTTATTAGATTTTTCTGATATTTTCAACTAGTGGTGCAAGTGTTCATTTTAATTGGTAACGAAAACGCTTGTTTGCGAACACTCTCAGATCAGTGTGTGGCCGCCATCGATTTGAAGCAGAACTCCAGGTAAAAAAAAAAAAATCTTAACCCTTGCAGTGTGGGGGCAGTACCGCACTGCAAGGATAAGGTGCTCCTTTTTGTCCAGGTTCAAAAATAACACTTCTACTCACCCGAACCTCAGAGCCGGCTTGCTTAGACCGATCCCTTCTGTCTTGCTTCTTCTTCTCCTCTGCGGGAGTCTAAGGTCCCGGAGTCATCACAGCCCATACACAGTACTGGAGGTGAGGACACCCAGAGACTGCGGAAGGGACCTGGCTAAGGGAAAGCCGCTTTGCAGCATCGGCTGAATATATCTTTTTATTTTTGAACCTAGACAAAGCACATCACCTTTGCTGTGCTGGGGCGGCCCCACTGCTAGGGATAAGAACATTTGTATCCAAGACTTCTGCTTTAATATTAACATTTTGATTCCAAAATTCTGAAGAAATACCCATGTGTATTGCATCGTGCGATATTGTAATCACTGGTTTGTGATCGCTCAATCACAAATCTCTGCGTGTGTGGTCACCTAAAAACAGGAAAAGGATAGTTTTGGCTGGAGTTGGGCTTTCACAGTAAAAACTAAACTCCGGAGTTAAATCTTAAAAATACATTCAAGTTCCTCAACTATTAACAATACTGGATCTTATTTGTGTATCAGTCGGCTGTAGATCCTCCAATCATCTCTGAATTGGTGCTGCCACTGTCCTTCCTTCTGGAGAGGGGCTACTATTGTTCCCCATGGTCCCTGTGTGTGTTGTAAAGTAGTCACCGCTCCAAGCTCGCTCCGGTGATGGACTACAACTCCAATACAAATCTTAACATGAGATTGTAGTCCATCACGGGAGTGAGCTTGGAGCGACGACTACTTAACACACACAGGGACCATGGGGAACAAAAGTAGCCCCCCTCCAGAAGTAAGGACAGTGGCAGCACCAATTCAGAGATGATTGGAGGATCTACAGCCGACTGATACACAAGATACATTTTTGTTCATAGTTGAGGAACTTGAATGTATTTTTAAGATTTTCCTCCTGAGTTTGGTGTCACTTCAAGGCCGGTACAGGCATACAGGACAGTATAGGGGATGAGAACTTCCATTGTCGGTCATTTTGCTGCTCTGCCTTACAATACCAGGAATGTCAGAGTCATGGATTTTAGCTTTTACACGGGCTGCCTCTGTGTGCGAAGGTGACGGGTACATGTAAATTATTTATCAAATCTTTTTTTTTTTTTTTCTTGTCTAAGGATTATGAAATGCAAATTTTAAAATGTAAATTTATCTTCCATGTGTGGAG